CATGTGACCCCTAGACAGGTTTTGTCAATCACACACCTCAGAAAGCCACTAAAACTAACAAACGACCATACTTTTTGCCAATCAACATGCATAGTTTTTGCTGTTTTCAAGATTAATGTATATATTGCCAACCTCTAAAGGAGCAAGAGCCACAAAAATAATGTTCAACTATCCGACGTTCACAATAGTTTTTATTAATCATAATTAAAAGGGTAAAAATTACAGTTGGTCCTTGAATTTTGTCTTCAATTTTAATTTAGTCCCTGAACTTTCAAATATTTTAATTTAGTCTCTCAACTATCAATTTCAACTCAATTAAGTCCTTACATCAATTTTCACTGTTATATCAACTAGAGACTAATTAAATCTAATGAATTTCAACGTTAATCTAATGACAAAAATGGATGGAAGGACTTAATTAGACAAAATTAATAATTAAGGGATTAAATTAGAACAATTATAAGTTCATGGACTAAATTAAAATTAAAAACAAAATTCAAGAACAGATTATAATTTTTACCCTAATTAAAACTGACAAAGTGTAATCATCAACTGTTTGTTTGTTTGTAGTCGTATGCAGACGCTAATCAAGTGACAGTTACTAATTATATTTGTCCCTGATTCGTTGGTTTCGGCGGAGTTTCTTTGTCTGCCGTTCATGTTGTGTATAACTAATTTGAATAAGGTTATCGTTGAGCGAATATCTTTTACCCGTATCAATTTTTGTAAAGAAATATGCACCTACTGGTTATGTAGGACTTTAATCATGGGATTGTCACCATTGTCGATCAAAGAACAATAGGCAATCAATTAACCGTGACAGTTTGGCAGATATTGAGTAATGTTTAAGGAATGAAGATTTGCTTGATTGCTTTCTTTTGATCTTGTTTGGAGCCATACAACCACCGAGTTAGTTGGTCCAATAGGGTATTAATCGAATTTTTCATTCTGAGCTTGGAGGTTCTTGAAATTCATGTCAAATTTCTGTTGTTGACTGTTATGATAACGTAGCTAAGTTCGTTTTCGAAAGAAGTAATGGACGGAATCAAGGACCCTATGATCCCATCAATGAATATCTATCAGAGTGGTCTAAAAACGCTTTCTTTTACCCCGTCCTTTTTTAACAAGGAAAAAAAAAGCGAATAAGAACCAATCTGAAGCAATAAAGATCACACCATATATAAACAATAGTAATACTGCACTGACCAAATTTTGGGATCAAATTTAGAGCTCAAATGACGTAGCAGCTGACTTTGACTTTTTTATTTGGTGTCATGTCATGTGAACTCCAATAAAAACTCCAAATAATATGTTGTCATATTATTTAGATTCAAAATTTAGTCAGCGTAGCATTACTCCATAAACAATGGTTGCATGGCTTTTTGTGGGAGACACCATAATTCCATGCGTTGCAGCGAAAATAACGCAACTTCCAAGCTTGTAATTCCAGTAAAGTAGCTAAGCTTAGTAGTTGATTTATGCACAGATTCATCATAAAGCAAGTGCAGCTTTCTCTGATTCTGCTAAATTACTTACAATAAAATAACACTGAGATATCGAAAAGCCAGCTCTTCTGATTCTTACCAATCTTTGAAAACTTAAAAAGAAAATGTGAAATCAATAATACAAGCAATGTGTTATGCTTCCAACCAAAAATAACTAATATATACATCTGGCACGGAAAATTGTGCTATACAATCTGGCCGTGGCTACCAGTACCACCCTTCCCCGTGAAGTGAGCGTCAAGTCACCAAAAGCTGAGGCACGTGCTTTTCCGGAGAGAAGGTGACTAGAAATGAAGAAACGAGAGGGTATAAAAGAGGATTAGAGAAGCAATCAGTGTGAATTGCATGGCAAAATGTGAAGTGATCGTCGATGAGTCTCCGGTGACAAAGCTGGGTAACCATGAGGTGAGTGACGTTGGGTTCTCTTGTTGTGATCCGGATCCTGACCCATCTGTTGTTCCTGTTGTCATTGACATTGGAGAATCTCTTGAAGATTTCTGGCTGCAAGAAAAGAAGTTGAAAACAAAGACAAGTCAATAAAGATATATTGTTACAGCAAGAAACAAATTCACTTGAAAATAAAAAATACAGTCAAATAAGAGGAGATGGAGAAGATGCAAAAACAACAATTCTCTCTCATTTCCTGGTCAATCCAAAAAACATTGTCCATTATAACAGTAAGATTAATGGATGATTGTATCATCCTTACCTTGGTAATGAAGGGCAGAATGTAATCGTATAATCAGCCCCAGTACACGTAAAGGTACTTGTGGCATCATCGTAGGCATAGCTATATGATCTCGGACATGCCGATTTAAACACTTCCGAGTAAACGGACGGCTTACAGGTGGCGGGTGAACCATATGCGCCGCTGCAACAGTATTCTGGACTTCCAAACGCTTCACATGCACTCTTGCATGCCTGGCCATCACCAACCCGTAACTCTGACGGGCACATCCGGTTCAAGTCGGTCACACACCCTGTTGACGCGCACATACCCGACCCACCATTTGCTTCAACAATCATTGGCAAGTTGTACCCATCAACCAGGCTGACATCATAGAAGTCCTGGTTATGGGAGTCGGTACCCGACCCGATTGTGAATTCGGCTAAAGTTGCCGGTGGGGTGGCTCCGGCACCATTGCACTCTAACTGGTTGGAGCCACAATCAGCGGTGGCGCAGCTTCCTTGCCCCGTATTCATGTCGAAAGAACAACCAGTTCTGCCCCAGAACCGCCCTGACCAGCCTGATGGAGCTTGGAAGGACTTAGACCCACCCGGTGGGAGTTCAAACCCGGTACTATCCAACTTGGTGCTACCTGCATTGGCTAGAATTCCGGGCCACACTAAGTAGTCACACCGGTTTATTAACGTAAATGTAGCCCCTGAAGTGCCTGAGAAAATATAAGCCGCCATTAAAATAAAGTACTCGAGGGCTTCATTCATCTTCATATATAAAGTTTTTTAATTAACACCTGAATTTTTATGTATAGACACACATACAGAGATATATAACACCTATATACACACATACAGAATACAGATCCGCATAAACACACAAAACCCAAATGGCAAAGCTGGAAACATTGAAGTTTACCTCTGCAAATCACAAGCAAAATGAGGCTGGTCATATACAGAGAGGAAGAACTTGAAGAGAGCGGTTCCATGTGGACAAGAAATGAGGTTCTAAAATATGAAGTTATGAACAATAATATGAAGGATTGAACGTGACTGGTTCAGAGAAGAGTAGAAATTAAGTGTAACAGATAAAAGTTTTTTTGGGGATGATAGCTGGCTTTGAGTCAAGAAAAATGGGATTTGGTTGGGTTCCAATACCCATAAACTTGCTAAATCTGTAGTATAAATTGTCTGGAAAACAAGGATGAAAACGAGGGAATCTGATGAGAGAGAAAGCTGTGTTAGCACTTAGCCACTATGGACATGTATATATAGAGGTATTTTATGTGGAAGAAGAACAAAATCTACTGTTGGGTAATAAAAAAAAGTTAGAGTGGGTTTAGGGTCATGTGGTGTGTACACCCAATAAAAAATTACTTAGACATACAAGTTATTTTCTATTTTTTTTTTCAAAAAATATTTAATAACATGTTAAATGAAAGCTTTTTTTAGAAATGAATGACTTATAATTAATTTTATATATCACCTGATACTATCAAGTGGTGTGTTAATCAAACAAAAAATTATCATGTAAAATCCAAAAACATGTCATCTACAGCTTAACTTAGAAATGACCCGTGTTATGGATGCCCTAACTTTAAGCAAAGTGATTTCTATCTTCACTTTGATCAGCACAAAATAACTTTGGAAGAACTCAACTCCTCTACCAAATGTAAGAACCAAGCAAACAACCAAAATCCCCCACCCCCACCCAATCTTCTAATGATTTCCCAACACAACACAGACCAATTTGTCATAATCAAATGGATGAAATCATTTCTGATCGGTTTGTGCTATTGGGGACACTTTTTTTTTTTTAATGTAAATCAATGGATTTAACGTATTCTTTAGGAGGACTGCACCGACATCGTATTTTTTTTGCACATAATGTTGTCGATTTACAATTGTTTCTTGCTATAACAAGCATATTCAAATTGCATTTTATTAAAATGTGCCGGAATTAGCTTAATTAAAATTCAGCACTCATCATATATAGAAGTTTTTTTTTGTTGAGAACAGTGAACATGATTGTAATTTTATTTTATTTTTTATCATAGGGTGTTCAGATTTACGCCAAATATTCTCTCAAATTTTAATCTGATCACCGTAATTCAAATTAGTTTAAGGACATATCCCTTAAATAACAAGGATTGTTTGCCTTTAAAGAATATAAAAAATGTTGAATCTAAAACCTCTTTCTTGCAAGAAGAGAGATTTGACGACCACCATCATAAGAGACGGTTGTAAATAGGATTTGAGCATTTGGATAGAAGATCATTTGAACTCTCAGCGAAAGCCGTCGTTCCTTAATTAGCCATTGCCATTGATAGGAAACTACAAGGAGCATTAATATTTTTGTAATGATATTCTGATCTGTGCATTAAAATTCCCAAACTAAATCAAGCAAGTACAAAGAAACTAATCCGATAACGATTGAGCTCTTCTCTCAGACAAGTTTCTGATCTGTTTCGCCAAAGATTTTTAGTTGTAAAGCAAAGAGGTCTGCATCAAATGATTCCATTTCCACCAAAGTAACTTGTTAAGAAAAACTAACTGATGTGGCGCACCTTCATTTTCTATGGCGTCCACGACTTTCTCATATGGAATTGGATTCCCAATAGGTACAATACAATTAGATGAACTTGGTTGATCATCAGAATCACGTAGCCAAGTTGGCTTAGAAATGGGAAGATCTTTAAGGCTAATTAATGAATCGTTTGGCCAAAAAACTTAGTAGCAATGACATCTATATTCTGCCACATATGTTACTTAAGTGGGTAGCCACTCAAAAGCTTTTCTACCGCTTGAAGACCTTGTTTTTCAATGAATTTATTTAGTCAAAAATGAATTTGCTAAAGAAACAGACTGATTTAGTTATTATTTAAGCCTAATAGTATTTTTAGCCTCTAAAGTATGCATATTTTGTCAATTTGGTCATAAAATATTAATTTTATTAATTTGATTTCTAAAGTATTCAATTCGTGTTTAAATAATCTCTACATAAAAAAATTATTAAATTTTTGACGGAATAATCACGTGATTGACACATGATACCGTCTAAAAAATGACACGTGGTCACTTTCGTCAAAAAAACTTAACAAATTGTTTGATTAGGGATTAAAATAACATGAATTGAAATTCTAGGGATCAAACTGATAAAATTGGTATTTGAGAAACTAAATGGACAAAAATGACATACTTTTGGAACTAAAAATACTATTAACCCTATTATTATATAAATCAGTAATGCTATACTGACCAAATTTGAAGCCCAAATGACATGACAGTTGACTTGGACTTATTTAATTGGTGTCATGTCATTTGGGCCCCAATAAAAACTTCAAATAATCAACTGTCATGTCATTTGATCTAAAAATTTAGTCAGTGTAGCATTACTCTATATAAATACATACAGTTACATATGTGCATACGCATACTAAAATAAATGTGAATACCGAATAGGCGCAAACCCAGACAATAAATAAATACAAATACATAATATATTTAAAAAAAAGGCTCCCAACACAATTGCTTTAGATTATTATGTGTGTATTTGGGAGGAAAGAGAGGGGCTTTCGATGCACTTGTCTTCGATCTGAACTGGTTTTTTCATTTGAATGGTGTATGCAATGCAAACAACAACCAGCATAGAATAAAAGTTTTGTTGAGTTGAGAACTAAAACACAAAAAATAACTTAATAAGGAAATTTGTTGAGAAAGATCTCGATTCACTGCAACCGCGACAAAATATTATTAAAATTTTTATCCTAAAACCATTGCTGCTGCGTCATGTAGACTACAAAAATGTATGCTTATATGATCCTGCTTGAGGATTTGCATAATGACATGTCAAAGCCCACAATGTGGCTTGTAATCTGAAATATCAAAGCCTGAGTGCCCATTCAAATATATTTTTCTTTGTCAGCCAAACGCTAGCTCCAAGCTCTGATCTCTGTAGAAGAAACCTTCCATTGGGCTTGAGCCTCACTGTCACTGATGGTACCTGCACGAGGGGGTTACACTTACATTACACTCCTTAAAAAGTAAAGTAAGGGCCTATTTTCTTGCTTTTTTTAAAGCTTTCAAGGGAACATTCTGATTCAGGTCCACCTCACTATGTCCATGCTGCCGTGGAATGCACTTGGAGTGGGACTCACATTTTATTTCCATCTTTACTGTGATATACTGTAATATTTTACCTTGAGCCCGTAACACACTAGAAGCTCACTACTTTTGAGTGTTCTAGTTATTCTATATAATAAAATTGGAAGCTCCCTCATACAAGCAGTCAGGATGGCCGAGTGGTCTAAGGCGCCAGACTCAAGTTCTGGTTCTCGTGAGAGAGCGTGGGTTCAAATCCCACTTCTGACATCTTTTCTTTTTTCATTACATTGTATGCAGAAAGGTGACCGTGCACTACAAACATGATCTGAAAATTTTATAATACCGGACCCTAGAATTTGTGGGTTTTTTTTTTTGTTGGTACCTTCAGATATTTTAATTCGTTAAATTCAGATATTTTAATCTTATTTTTATCGATTAAAATAAAACGTGTTAAATTGTCCACCTAAAAACATTTTTTTAGGTGGATAATATGAGCATTTGGATTTATCCTTAATAATACTATTTAAATTTAATTTATTAATCTAATTTAATAATTATTGAATTGATGTTAGACTCTAATATTTGTTGAGACCTGCTATCAATTTTATTCCATGCTAATTGTGTCTCCTCCTTTGGTTTTGTAAAACTAAGTGCCTTATAATCTTCTAATTATGCTTACAACTCGGCCCGACTTGATCCTAAAATTCAGTCCGGATTATGAAGGCGATGGACCTTTGAATGAGTCGGTGATGGCCTGTGCACATGTTGGGTACATGCAATTTGTTTGTTTTTCATCAGCATTACTTTCTAAACTTCTACGTATCAAGTTGATCAAAAGATGATCTAAAAGCTGCTTGTGCCATGATAAGATAAGATTCAAGAAAGGTTTGTTGGAGCTATTGACTTGGTTTGCAACGTGATAGCTAAATAATAGGTAGGAGTTGTTATTTAAACTGTTAAGTAAGCTAGTTTGTAGGAGTTGATTTGTTCAATTTTGTTTAGATATATTTTCCTTGTATTTCGATTTTTCTGTTTGTAAGGCTTTATAAAAGCTTCAGTTATTTTTTTACTTGAAAGAATAAGGATTATCAGTTTCCTTTAAGGTTATCGTGTTAAATAAGCTTACGAGTGAAAATAGATGTATAAATTTTCTCTCTAAAAGTTAGTGGTTGACCCATGCGTGCATGCTAAAAATAAGAAGCAACATGTCGGAAAATGCCGCCTGATGACGTGCAAAGGAGGAATACCTACGCAGCATAGTAATGTTAATGTGGCTAGCATGTTTTCAGCCATACAGCTTTTATTCCATCAAGAAGATTCTACACTACAGAAAATTTTGAATTCTGATGTGAGAATGTGCATGTGCTGACTGTGGAAGCCTCAAAAAACATCTACTACGCATTGAACAATAGAGCAATTGAATGTTTTCGTCAAGGGTCCAAATGATCACAGCTCCATTTGGAAGAAGGATCCTATACACTACTTTTTTCAATACGTCAATAGCATTTTTGTTTTCGGAAAAATACAATAATATAACAACTAGCGAAACTCAAAACACGTCCAAAAGGACACACAAAGCAAACCTTAAGCAAATGGCTCAATGACACCACCTAGCTAGTCAACAAAAAACTGACACCACTCTCACTCTATTGCTTGGTTCATTGTCAATAAGATAATCTCAGACATAGCAAGCCATACTTTTTTTTTAAGTCCAAGTATGGAACAAAACATGGAAATGGAGATCAAAATACAAAGCCTATCTTCTACTGATGAGAGGTCTTTTAAGAACCAGGAACGTGCGAGGGCATGTTATCTGTCGTGTAAAGAGCCAAATGGATAGTGGTTTCTTTTTTTGTATACTTTTGGTTCAGAATTATCTCTCTTT